CAAATACCATTCGGGCATCTAGTTTTCTCCTGTGAAAAAAATCGAAAAAACAATGCAAAGTATTATTTTTTTAACAAAAAACATTCGTGCAGGTGCACTCTTGCTTCTTATTGAAATATTATTTAGCTACGTACTTTTTCGATTTCTTTCAGAAAAATTAGATGCCCTTATGATATTACTTATGGAAATTGCCCAGTAGGTATCGAAAATTTCCCTGTCTATCGCAACGATTGATGAAATGTGTATTCATTATCTTGACATGTATAAATAAACTCGGTAGATATTCCAACGAATTACACTCTCGTATCAAAATAACCCTGATAATTTTCCATTCAAGCATGTTGTCAGTAAAAAACCGCATTCGGTAATTTTCACATTTTGTTAAAAATAAACTTATGCAGTTTTTAGACAACACGCTTTCATGAAAATTTATCGGTAATTTTGATGCACTTGTGTTATTACTTCCGATAAGTTTGTGAAGTTTCATCATAAGGCTAAAGCACAGCTTAGATCACAATCAGCTATGAAACTCTCCTGTCAGTGTCAAAAATGGCCGCCATTTTAGCGGAGAAGGTCGAATGTAAACTCTCCTAGTACAACTATGGAAGAGGTTTTAGTGCTCAGCAGCAGCTGGTGTTGCCTCGTGTCATGCAAGCTTGAAATAACAATATTTCGATATGATATAGTATACCGGCTGCTGCTTAGCACTAAAAACTCTTTCATATTAAAACCATTCAATTTTTTACCTTTTTCTGATAGAACCTTCCGAAAATACTCATAAGTAGCTTCAAAATGAGGTATTGAATGACCCCTGTTCCCATTTAAGATCTAAGGGTTGGATTGCATCCCGCCGTTGGGGTGGTAGTGACAAAAGTAATAATAGATGCAAAAGGTTTCCCCCTCAAAATAAAAATTGATTGGTTCGAGCGAACTTTTTTCCCAAGTGCCACTGAGAAATCGATTTTATTTGGTTTTCACTGGCCAGCCCTGTCCATCTACCAAATGGCATCTTCAAAAGGTAGTGAAACAACTCATAAGTAAATGTGATTCAATAAGTTTAAATTCAATGAATGAAGAATAATACACACATATATATATATATATAACTTGAGAAAATAAAATTTTGTGCAATCATCAAGTGGCTTCACGATGTAATGCTTAACTTTCATTTTAAATATTTTTAATCTGTTGTTTTTAATTTGTTCTTGTCATACAGCTGTGTGTGGTTTGTATAATTTTGACCACTGTACCATGTATAAAGCTTTCACCATGTTACTGGGTGTTTCCCTCATCCTTAACGTTAATAACATTTAGCAACACCCTCACATACTACTCTCCTGATGATGATGGCAAAGACCATTGAAAGCTAGAGAGATTAAAAAAGTATAAAGAGTACTCCTTGCTTAAATTTTGTCGAAGTACCCAACAAAAGGCGGAAGCTTTAATTCTCACCTATATATATAGAAAATGATCATGCGGAAAAGGTATATAACAAAAAGTAGAAAAATAATGGCAAAATCCAAAAAAAGAGGAAAGTGAATTCGAGCAGAAAATAGGATAGGTAACCCGAGCGATACGTATTTCTGCTGGTTGGCTTCATCAGGCCCGAAATGAATGCACATATGAAACTACAAAAGTAGATACACATGCCCACACATCCGGATACGGGTGTAACCTGAGGAAACGAAGATGGAGAGGGAAAAAAACGACACACGAAGTCCACAACAAGTGCCAACCTACACATTGTAGCATAAAATGGCTAGAAGACCTCGAATTTTCAAGGAGACATCTAACCACATCCACGCGGCCGGTTATAGCCACTTGCTGTGGTACTTCAAACCCAAAGGATCTACAAAGAGAAAATGATTTTGTGGACTTTTGTAGTTTCATATGTGCATTCGTTTTGGGCCTGATGAAGCCAACCAGCAGAAATACGTATCGCTCGGGTTACCTATCCTATTTTCTGCTCGAATCCACTTTCCTCTTTTTTGCGGAATTTGCCCATTATTTTTCTACTTTTTGTTATATATATACCAGAAAAAAAAACATGCTGAATTAACACTTTCGTGACTCGGCGTGTCTAAAAAGAAGCTGCCACTTTTTGTCTTTGTAGCTCTTTTATTTTAAGTAAATTCTCAAATCTTATCGTGGAAGATCCAGAAATATAGGTATAAAATTATTTACAAAAATATGAATCAAAATGGTATTCCAACGCATTACTATACGAGCAGTTAATTTCAGATTCCAGCTTTTTAATAGAAATACAAAACAGACAATATTACACAATAAAGACACTAGGGCAGTAGCAACGAAGAAGTGAAATCTCAAACTGTATGCATATCTAATATAAGGTTGGATTGGAATTCCTCTTCTAATAATCCTTACAACTTTTTAATGTATTCATGTAGTTAAAATACAGTTTTATAATAGAATAAACCATTCTATTCTGAAAAACATGAGTTGTCATTACATACTAGATGAGATATCAAATCAAATTGACAAAAATCTACGACTAAATTCTTTTCTCTGTATGTGTTACTCAGAAAAATATATGATAATCCTTTTTGGGTCAATTAGGTGGAAATATCATTCAACTTTCCTTCTCATTTTGTGCCGGAAGTGTGATATTCCAGAATTTCGTGACATTTTTTGATATAGATGTAGTACCTGAAATTATGCTAGACCATTGTTAATATAATCGTTGACACAGTCATACATCACCATACAATAATCAGTATATTTGAAAAACAGCTGAAAATGATAAACCTACAGTTCCGTTTTTTATTTTCTTATTGCGCAAATCATTTGCCAAAAATTCCATTCGATGCAAATTTATATTTACATTTAATTCTATTTTGAATTTTGATGACCCCGACCTAAACTATGACATACATATTATAATATTTTCCATGTTTGAAATGCCACTGCTTTTTACATAATCTATATAGGGAAATACTTGTCTACATTGACATTTCCTCCCATTTTTTGCCAACATTTTAATATTTTCACTTCGTGATATCGGCATCCATAGCTTAATTTAAAATAAAATAAAGCAAGAAGCGTACTGAAGTTTTCTCAAATCGTACATTCATAGTAAAGCTCTAATATGGAAACAAATCTACAATATCTCTACATAAAGATTAAAAATCAAGGCATGTAATATTGATACTTCGAATAAGTCAAATATATTAATCCATAAAAAATCAAAAACTTAAGAAAACTGTACAGAAGTTTCCTAGCTTAACTTACCAATTAACTTAATAAACTAATACGTCACTTTGTATTTCTCGAGAAAAAAATAGAGGGCAATCATTGGTGAAATTAATCATAAAAGACATACAGTAATGGACAAAAGTATATAGACAAATATGAATATTTACCTAAATACCTTTAGAAAACGAATTCATACTTCATTGCTCCATAAACAAATGCGTTATTAGTAGAAAAACTAAATTCCTTGTTTTTACATTATCTGCAATGAACACAATACAAGTCTGAATATAAGCAGTTTTTTATGAGGGACAAAAATATGTAGACAAATTCTTTTTAACATTAGTTTAGTACAGTTTCGAGTCAGAAGAGGATTAGTTTGTGTTCATCAAGTATTATGAAGTAAGTTGAGTTATTTTAAGACCATGCCGCGTGGTCCAGAAATTTCTCGATGTGAAAACTAGGATCATTGAGTTATACAAAGATGGTCAACGTCAAGTCGACATTGCCAAGAATTTGAAGCTAAAGCGTAAAGCAGTTTGGGCAATATTGAACAAATATAAACAAAGAGGTATCTTGGAAGCCTCTAAGATAAGTGATCGGCCTAGAAAAAGATCCGTTTAAAACCCCAAGACAAATAAAAGCCGAAATCGACAAAAGGAGTTGTCAGTGTTTCTACGAAAACTATAAGTAGAAGATTAAATGATTTGAAGTTATTTGCACGTCACCCGAGTAAGAAGCCGCGAAGAGGGTATGTTTCAGTGACGAATCCAAGTTCAATATGTTTGGATCAGATGGTGTTCATTACGTTAGACTTCCTAGTGGACAAAGATTGAACCCCAAGTACACTTCGCCCAATGTCAAACATGGAGGCGGGTCTGTTAGGGTTTGGGGGTGCTTTTCGGGGTTTGGGATGGGACCTTTATATAGAATGGATGGCATTATGGATAAGTTTGTATAGACATACTAAAGCATGTCATGTTACTCTATATGGAAGACAATATGCTCGTAAGATCAATCTTCCAGCAAGATAATGACCCGAAGCACAATTCAAATCTCGCAAAGAAATTCTTTCTGGATGAAAAAATACTAGTTCTCAAATGGCCTTCACAGTCTCCCGATATAAACCCCATTGGAAATCTATGGAAATACTTAGGTAAGCAAATACGAGATAAAAATTATTCAAACAAGGATGAACTTTTTGCCGCTTTAAAGCAAAAGTGGAGACAGATTGATGAATCTTATATCGAGAAACTTCTACAATCTATGCCGAAACGATGCCAGGCGATGATTGATAATAATGGTTAGCTACAAAATATTAACTCAAACATGGTTGGTTTTCTATAATTCAGTGAACTTAGCATCTTTTTTCTATAATTGTTTTGCATTTACTATATATTTTTGTCCTTCATAGTTCCAGTTTTTGCAATCAATTTTTTATTGAAGGGAGTGTAATGAATTTATTTATGTATATGTGAGTATTATGCTGTATCGAATTATATATACAGGTTGGTAATAAAACAAGTTAAAAAAGAAATACAGCACAATATTAATTTGTCTATTACTGTATATCCCAATATAAGCTGGGACGGTTTGAGGATAAAAAAAAATCCGCGAAGTATAGCATGAAGTTTTAGCTTTTATTCTATGTATATCCGTTGAGAAAATCACACTTTGCAATTTCAATTCAGCTCATCGCCTCTACTATATTATAAAAAATACTGAAGTACTTATAAAAACTTTTTTGGGATTATAACAATTTTATTAACATTGTAATAATTATTTTACAGATATCTGAGTGAAAGCAAGGTGGATAAATGACGTACGAGTCTGAATGAATACAAACACTGGAGATATGCAAGATTAAAGATTACCATGCCATTTTGATAAAAAATTGGATGAAATACTCTACCCAAAATAATAGATACTCGAACCACTTGAACAAATTTCAAGTTTAGAGACATTATAATCATGACCATCAAATCTTGAGAAAAAATCCAGTTATATACTTCAATCGGTCCTATCAATTCAGTGCGACAGAAACGTAGAATATTAGGGGTCTCCGACTGCACCTTCTGAACACACGTAGAATATTTGTGAAACCATAAGTGTTGACATAGTGCAATAAAATGAGTTCAGAAGACACTACGAACATAGTATTTGGTCCAGAATTAGAGAGAAATATAGACGTATCTTTGGGTCAGCTCATGTTGCCATTACTCAAAGCTCATGACGAGCAGGTAATTCAAATTGATGGAGAAACCCATGAACCTCTAACTGCTATAAAATTATTGAAAAGGGCCATCAAGCTGGCTAAATGGTATGAGAAAGAGGGATTGGGTATAGGCGACAATATTTCTATAAACAGTGAGAATAGGTTGGAGTTCTGTACAGTACCAATAGCAGCATTCTTCAGAGGAATAACCTTTGCGCCTCTCAATCCTGAATATACTCCTAGAGAATTGAAACATGTGCTCAATTTGTCGAAGTCCACAGTTATATTCTGTTCGATGAAAACAGTGGACAAGATGATTTCGATACTACCTGAACACCCTCACATCAAATATCTCGTACTTTTCGGTAATGAGAAAAGGAATCATCCAAAAATTGTAATGTTTCATGAGATCATGGGAAATGCAGATTCTGAAGAAGTAGATGATGAATTCGAAGCAACAGAATTGGATATAGTAGATACGGTAGCGACGATACTATGCTCTTCAGGTACTACCGGCATGCCCAAAGGTGTGATGTGCACCCATGCCAACATGACTACATTCATAGACATTGCTCAAATGCAATTTAAGGAAATTATCGAAAGTGATGATCCCATTGACGCACTAATGGGCTTGGTACCTTTTTTTCACTCTTTTGGATTCATGTTGATGTTTCTAAACATCCTAAGGGGCAAAATTCTGGTGGTGCTAAGCAAGTTCAAACCGAAAATATTTCTAGAATCAATTGTTAAATACAAAATCTCGAGGCTAATAGTACCTCCGCCAGTACTAATATTTCTACTGAAACACCCGATGGCCAAACAGTACGATCTGAGCTGCATCAAGGAAATGCGAAGTGGAGCAGCACCGCTTGGAGCAGAATTAGAGAAAGAGTTGAAAGACAAGTTCAATGTGCATCATGTTTCACAAGGATATGGAATGACTGAAACGACCTTGGCTGTACTGGCAACGTCTCATGGAAAGGCGAAGTCTGGATCTTGTGGCAAGGTGGTACCTGGTATGATGGCCAAAGTGATTGACGATGATGGAAAGGCGCTGGGTCAGTACCAAGAAGGAGAACTCTGCTTCAAAGGACCACTGATCATGAAAGGGTAAGGTTATTACTGTTCTTTAAAGCAAAAGGTGTTTCTCCAGAGGATTGGAAATTTGTAAACAGGATTGTACCCATGGAAAAAGTTTTTTGATCACCGGAGGCCAAGCATTAGTAGACAGACTGACGAAAATGAGTGCTAGTGTTTTCCGTCATATAACATCCAAAAAACAAATATCGTCGGACATCTGACAATACCTGCTATATGCAGGAACGGTAATTTTACAGGGGACGGAAAAAACCTTATCAATTTTATACTACCGGCCTTAAGACTCTACAACTTTGGTCACAAAAAATAAATGACGTTTAACACATAGTTAATGCGTTTTTATCTAAATGAAGCTCTAATTGACAAAATTAGTGCAGATATCTTATAGTTCTGATAACTTTCCTTGCAGTTAGCAGATATTGTACTATGATGCATAGATGGATCTAGTGAGATTCGTGTTAGAAAAACTCTTATTCATTATATCAAATTAAAAGTTTAATGATTTTACAAATCAAAAAGATAATAGCATGTATTCTCAGTTACACCTTAAATTAACGTTCAGCTTCTTTCCTTGACATATGGCAAATTGTCGTTAAACATGTGACAGTCCTTAGATGTAACACTTATAATCTAAAATGACGGGTAGCTGTTTTGGTCTCATAGGCAACTCCTGAGGCTCTACACTGAAGTCTAGTTTCACTTCAATTTTTCCATCGGGATTATAATATAGTACTTTGATGTCCGTGACTACATTGTCCCTGCCTGGTCTAATTGTTGAGTATCGCTGCACCTCTGTTCGGGAGTAGTCCTTCAAGAAGTCGTAACTCAATTGGATCACCTTGTATGGCTCTGGTTTTGTCCTAGCTTCTTTTGACGCCTTAACATAATCATTTGGTAATTCAATAACTCTATTTCTCATTTTTCTTTAAATGCAACTGTGTACAGAGTCACATTCCATTTGGGTATTTCCTTTGGAGAGATATTTCTGAGAAATCCAAACGTCGTGTTTCATTGCAAAGTTAAGAAAAATAGCACGCGTAATTGTCAGATAGCTGGAATTGCCGCTCATTGACAGACGTGTTGCCAGTGATAGGTATTGTTTTGGCTGTATAATTCAAAAACTAAATTATTCTGCAGTTAGCGGACTCTATCACAATGTGCGCTGTAGGTAGACGAAGAAAAATGTGCATATACCTCAAATTGGGCAAAAATGTCAGATAGCAGGTATTGTCAGATGTCCGACGATATCTCATTTTCGAAATTCTTCGTGATTACAATATTTCCTTGTCAGTCACGTGGGGAGTGAAGGTAGCAGTTTTTAAGTAGAGCCATCTAGGTTCAGGATAACAGTATAATTTTTTTTTGTAAAAACCATTAGCGTACTGTTTTCTTTGCTAAACATACAGCCCTAACTGCACAAACGGCACTAATAATAATAATAATAATAATTTATTTGTCCTGTATGATCACAGATGTGATATAGGATAAGTCAGTAAGTAAGAGCACTACAAAAGCTAATAACAAATCATGTTAGTGTGGACGCCACATATGGCATATTCCAAATATGAATACAGATAAATAAAATTAGCGTATAGATATAATTTATAAATATAAAACATATATGTGTATATAAAAAAGCGAAATAAAGGACAAACCATTGACATTCAAATGATCAAAATCAAACAAGACATTCACACATTAAAAATTCCTCAATAGAGTAAAAAGCTTTCTCCAGTAAAAACTGTTTAACTGTTCTTTTAAAAGTGTTCAGTGGTTGTGATTTCAAATCGTTGGGGAGTCTGTTGAAAAACTTAATAGCCATGTATCTAGGGCTGTCCTCCGTTCTCGACAATCTATGCGACGGCACTTCCAATACTTGACTGTTTCTTGCAAAGTAAGCACCAGTGCTTACAGAATTGAACTTGCTCAATTGTGTTTTAGCAAGGATAAGTATATTGAGTATATATATATACAGATGGTAAGGTCAAAATCTTTAATGTTCTAAATGAATCTTTGCAGCTAGTGAGCCTTCCAATTTTAGCTATTACTCGAACAGCCCTTTTTTGCAACACAAAAAGTCTTTGCAGCTGGGACGATGCTCCCCATGCTTCTATTCCATAAATTAGGACTGAATGGATATGTCATAGTAAAATATCAGTAATATCCACTTCTCCACAACAAAACTTAACTGGTACAGGCAGTAACAGAGTGGGGCGGTCTTTTATATATATCCCTAAAAATTTTGTCGCATCCACTTGTTTTATTGATTTGCCAAACGATTTTATTAATAAAGTATGATCCATCGGTGAGGTGGAAAGGTTAAATTTAAGGAAAACAGATTTCTGATTATTTAAGACGAGCCCATTATTGCTGAACCACTTACCTGCACCAGTCAAGCTTGAATTGGCAAGTCCTACAACAGATTCTAGGTTTTTACCATTAACAAGTAAAGAAGTGTCATCAGCATACATTACCGAGCAATCGGATGGGAAGTCATTGACATACATTATGTATAGGAGAGCACCAAGTATGGAACCCTGTGGAACACCAGTATGGTAGAAATGTTGGCTGGTCTGTGCATTTTGTACCTCGACATGATGCTTTCTATCGGACAGATAGCTATGGAACCAGTCAAATGGCTTCCCTCTGATTCCATATCTATCCATTTTATCTAGCAGAATAGCATGGTCAACCAAGTCAAAAGCTTTGCTTAAATCAAGAAATATACTAACTATAATGTGAGTACGTATAAAAGCAGTTATGATCATATTGATGGGACACTTGCGTCTACCAAAGCTCATCTCAATATCTCGTCTGGTTATGAAAAATTTAAGAGGATTTAAGAGGACAAGTTTGAAAACTTTTTACATATCCCAACGCGCTAAATCAGCGCTTCGATTCTGTAATATACTGTATTTGCAGAAAACCCGGGTTTTACTGTCTACGATTTGTCAGCTTTGAGTGGTTTGGAGAAAATAATCTATAGGGGTAATATCAGATGATCACGAAAGCCAGTAATCTTAGGTCCACGACGAGAAGCAATGCGGTCATAGGGAGTTTTCCTTAATATTTTAATCATGTATATAAAGCTCTACAGTCTCCCTTATATGTTGACTAGCATCATGGAAGAAATATGAATCAATTAATTGGCTTCTAAGAACGTTTAACCTTAAGCAATTTAAGCAAATGGATTCTCTGAGAGCAATACTAAATCAGGCATCTATATATGAGCGATATGTTGAAAGTTCGAAGTGGAAGATTTCAAGTATAGCTTCTATTGACTTTGAGAAAATCGTTTTCAAATTGTATCTCTGTTTCAGCTACGTAGGTGACCCAGAATCAACTAGAAACACCATAGACGCAGATGGCTGGCTCCACACTGGTGATGTTGCCTATTACGACTCTGACGGCTACTTCTTCATCGTAGACCGAATTAAGGAACTGATCAAGTACAAAGCATTCCAAGTAGCACCTGCCGAACTAGAAGCCTTGCTTCTGACCCATAATTCTATCGATGACGTAGCTGTTGTAGGTGTTCCTGACGAAATGGCTGGAGAATTACCTCTTGCCTTCGTGGTCAAAAAACCTGGAGTAACACTCAGCGAGAGGGATGTTGAGAAGTTCGTTGAGGATAATGTTTCGCCTCAAAAGCGACTCAGAGGAGGTGTGGTGTTTGTGAATGAGATACCTAAGAATCCTACTGGAAAAATACTCAGGAGGGTTCTGAGGGAAAGGGCAAAGAACATGAAGTCGAAACTTTAAGTCAGTTGCATATTGTGATGTTAGTATAATTTACAGTATAGAATATGGGAAATGATTACTCAGTTATAGACAAGGACAAGCATGAACTAATTGTTATTGGCAGCGATTGTGAAAATAAAATTATTAATATAATGCACGGGTAAAAAGATGTTTCGACCATTCGTACAAGTCCTAGTAGAAACTAGTCACAATGATGCTTATCAAAATAATGTTGCAAAATATTTTTAAAATTAATTTAATGTGTTTTTAGAAACACCAAGCTCAGTGAACCTCTCCTAGAATAATTTCTACAGCTTTTTATTTTGTATGCGTTATTTCAGGTTATATGTGGCGTAAAATTATTTCACCTATAACTATAGCTGTAGCGCTCATTTTTTAACACCGTACGAAGTTTTACTAAGCAAATACAAATACAGTCATAGAATTAATTAGAATTTTAAGTTATAATACACACGCAATATATTGTAAGGAACACGTTTGGCTATTTTTGTACTTTGCAGACTCCCGTTGTAAACTTCCACGTGTTTTTGAAATAATAAATTGATGATAAAATTACACAAAAGATGCAAACAAATTATTCTGAATATTTCAAATTACATATTATGATTTCCTACTTTAGAATTCACTACATCTCTCAAATTGTGTCATTATCTCTTTTATAAAAGTAACCTTTTTTTACTCTGGAGATTGGTTTGATACTTCCTTAACCGCCGCATATGTGTGTCCGATTAGAGAAAATTACATCTGCTGAAGCTTCTGAATCAAATATTCTAAATTTTACGATCTCATCACTTTCATATCCCGGACGAAGTCGCTAGTCTTTTGCCATGTCTCTTCAACCGATCCGTTTCCTAGGGCACAAGTACAAGGGTGTTGAGGTGTTCTTATTTGCTCTTATTGAACTTTGTAGAGCAAAAGTTCAACATGTATTTTGGGTGCAACCTCAAGAACATGAGTACTTGAATCTTGGCTAATAGGCCAACGCTACTCGTCTCCTTCCCTCCCCCATTTTCTAGGCGTAAGCAGTGCTATTGTGTTCTTGCATCAAGAGTGATAACCAACCTACCTGTCTTCTTGGCAGCCTTGCCTTTTTAGTAGCCCATTTATAAAAATGAAGAAATTATTACTGGGCACTGTCAGATTCATGAGAGTATTACTGTTTGTTCATCGAGCACTAATGCGCGAATATACAGTAAGATTCAATACAGCTTTTTTTAAACATGGCGTAAGAATGTACAGGATGTTGCTTTGGACTATTTTAAGATTATTTTTTACTTGGCGATTTAGTTTTTTAAATCGCCCTTTCATAACTAACTTTTGAAGTACATCGTATAAAAAAGTAGAAAAAGAACAATGAGTCATTTAGTTCGCCAGCGACGAACTAGACCGAAAACTGTATTGTTAATTATTTTTACGCTCTGCGCAATAATGCCTCGAAAGTAGTATTTTTACGAAATCTGATAACTTATCCGAAAATATGAACCATTATTTCGATTCTGCTTCCATGCATTTACATTCCAACCAATAGCCGAAAAGTTGAAAGAAAGCCTAGTGATCTGAAAAGTTGCAACCGAGGTTCTTTATAGTCGCTGATCATAAATCTGTTATCAAAATTATAGTATTTTGAAAATGGCGGAATCACTATAATTGGATATCATAATCCATGAATCAGTATTGAAATAAGACTGGTTTTCGCTAAAACGGTTCCTTTTATCGAAATAGAAAACAAGAATACATTTTATTCGGACAAAGGATCAGGCTTTCCAAAAGTATTATTTTTCAACTATTATTATACACAGTGAAAAAAATGGCAATACTGTATTTGGTCCATCCCTGGCGGACTAAGCAAAATGATAGTTTTCATGTAAGCCTGTCAGAATTTTGTTAAATTGTACGGGGTTATTCAAGAAAAACTGATTTCCAGTGAACTTCTTTTGGGACCTGTTTCCTGTTTGCTGAGAAAAAGTAGTTTGTCAAAAATTGTCAGGGGATTGGATAGTTTTAGGGCAGTCAAAATTGTCACCTCTGGAATTTTTGGTCATGTGGAAACACCCTTCATACCTTCGTATTAGCAAAAATGTCTGCCGGGTCTGTCGGTAACAGCTTGGTATCGTCATCGCTGTTACCGATATGAAAGATTCCAGAGATTCCTTACAAGTATAATATCCACCAACTCGAATTGCATCGCAATAGAGTCGGCCATCAATATGAACATTTCAATAAAACTCGACTGGAAAGAACGTGTCTTTGTCTGACATTTCCACCTTTCCATTTTTATTTGCCTCATATTTGTTCCCTCAACTAGGCAGGTGTGTAGCTGTCAGTCAATGAAAGAGTACAGTTAATATAGGAAGGCACTACGAGTTAATATTTTGCTACAACTTTCCCAAAAAGCAAAATTTTCATAGCTGTGAACAATTTGAAATTTGAGTCTTTTTTTTCAGCGCCGAAAATCCCTCCAATAGGACATGATCCTTTTTGATAGCTAGTTCAAAAAATGCGACAAAAGCCTAAAACTTGATAAAGTGACCTTACGAATTTAAAATCAAAAATACCTGATTTTCAAAACGGTGGAACTGTTACATATTCGTATATCGGAATAATTGTGAAATGATTCTTTTTATTGAAATCAAACAATTTTTTTTTGTAGAAAAAGTATGGGACTTTCATTGTGGAGTACCCAACGAGGGAGGAGTGGGACGCCGGTAGCCGAGGACTCTCCGAAGTGAGCGGGCAGGTCTGGTACACGGACGGCTCGGTCACCGAAGAGGGCTCAGGTGCTGGGGTCTCTGGACCTAGAACTAGGCTATCTCTGCCTCTCGGTGAGTACACCACCATTTTCCAGGCGGAAATCTTTGCGATTCTGGCTTGTGTATCTCACATTCTGGAGGAGGGTGGGCCTAGGAGAAGAATAACAATCTTATCCGACAGCCAGGCTGCAATGAAAGCACTAAGTGCATGTAAGATTACTTCGAGTCTTGTATTGCAATGCAGGGAGGCTCTGGATTGCCTCGCAGCGAGGCATCCGGTATCGTTAATATGGGTACCGGGGCACGCTGGGATAAGGGGCAATGAGACGGCGGACACTCTGGCGAAAACAGGATCAGCCAGCAAGCTCGTTGGTCCTGAGCCAGCTCTAGGAGTAACCGCGCATAAAGCTAGGAGGAAAATGGAGACGTGGGTTGCAAGACAACACTCTCAGAAATGGAGAAGTATCTCTAGACATCTCCGCCAGGCACGAGAGCTCATTGAAGGGCCCAGTGCTAAGGATGGACGCTTCTGCCTATCTCTGGGTAGAGCCAACCTAAGGTTGCTGGTGGGACTGTTGTCTGGCCATAACACGTTAAGGCGGCACCTGCACGTGATGGGGGTGGCTGAGGATCCCTTGTGCGAACGCTGCGGAGTAGAGGAAGAGACCTCGGCGCACGTTTTGTGTCGCTGTGAAGCTCTGAGCTACTATAGGCAGACTATACTGGGGTCCATTACTTTGGACCCTCAGGACGTAAAGGAGCTTGGACTCAAGGCGATTCTCAACTTCGCTAAAAGGGCGAGGCTTGTGATTTAAGTATTGTAGAGGTGCATAAGGGCCCGCTTAAGCGGCCTATGCACTGGCTCCTTATGGTGGCCGGGATGCCTCTAAAAATTCAAGATTCATTCATGGGACTTTAATAAACATACTGCCGCTATCAATACAAATTATCCTTACCAAATGGACCGCGCGCGGATTATTATGCTATTGCAATGAGTGGGGACTGAAGTGTATTGCGCAAAATACTGAATATTCATTTATGCGCGGAAACACCGAAATGTAATTAAAATCGAAAATGATTCGCGCCAATACGTAAAGATATAACATATCTTGGAGTTAAGCTTAAGAAGAGACTGTGGGCAAGATCCCACATCAACGCTCGTCTACATAAAGCTAAAGCAGCACTTGCGATGTGGGACCCCATAATTGGATGGATGGAAACAGCTTGTAATTTTTATTGATAAATAACATAACTTTATGTAATGTTAGGTATGTAAAATAAATAAATTTTAATTGACTTCAAAGGTTTAGCGATATTGCGTCAAGGCTAGTCCGTCCTTGGTGAACTAAATGAACTAATTGTTTTTCATTGGTACCACCTTGTGTGGGCTCAACCAATTACAAAGCGTTCAACATTTTGTTGGATTATGCCATATTGTTCCGTTCCAAAGTTATTTAAAAAAAGATTTCCAGTGGCGTCCTTCATTGGCATGTATACTAAGTGACATATAAATCCGAACACCCAGTTTAAATGGTTTTATTTTAAAAAAAGTTGGTGAATGTATTTATCTTACTGTAAATAACAAGTAAAACAATTTTCAGCCTTATCAGTTGGACATTCCGGTTTTTATACTGCTTTTTTTTAATTCACTAACGCTCTAAAAATGAATATTTCAGCCGCAGTAAAGAATCAACGTTGGCGGATTTTGGTTCTTGACATCCTGTACGATCGGTTACGATGCCTAGAGTACGGAGACCTGTACGATTTCGTCAACTTAGTGAGTTTGATAGGGGCCGTATAGTAGGACTTCGGGAAGCTGGACTTTCTTTTCGGGCAATTGCAGTTAGAGTGCAAAGAAGTGTAGACACTGTGGTTAGGTGTTGTCAGGCATGGCTTCGAGAAGGGGCACTGGACGCCGCCGTAGAACAACAGACCGTGAAGATCGCCGCCTAAGATTATTGGCCTTAAGGGACCGTTTCTCCACTACCAGGTCCATTGCAAATGAATGGTTTGCAGAACACGGAAGACCTATTGGCATGCGAAGTGTTTACCGACGAATGAGAAGTTTTGGCTTGTTTTCATACCGGCCACACTGGGTCCTCCCTTTAACTCAAGAACACCGACGCAATCGCCTTGAGTGGTGCAGACAACGGTCACTCTGGGATCAGGAATGAAACAGTATTGTCTTTAGTGACGAGTCTCGATTTTGTTTAGGCATGCGCGATGGTCGTGCCAGGGTTAGAAGGCGACGTGGTGAAAGGAGGGATCCACAGTTTTTTGTTGAAAGACATGTTCATCACACTGTTGGAGTTACGGTTTGGGGTGCTATAGCTTATGGTTCCAGGTCACCTTTAATCTTCATCAGAGGTAACATGAACGCGCAGCGTTATATCCACGAAGTTCTAGAACCCCATCTTTTACCCTACCTTGACACCCTGGCAGATCCAACTTTCCAACAAGATAATGCCCGACCACATGTTGTAAGAGTCACAATAGACTTCTTTCAACATAATGATGTCACATTGTTACCATGGCCACCAAGATCTCCCGACTTATCCCCAATTCAGCACATGTGGGATATGATGGGTAGGAGATTGCTCAATTTGCAACGTCCTCCTTAGACTCTAGAAGCACTTCGAGAGAAGTTGGTGGTTGCCTGGAATGAAATACTACAGGAGGACATTGACCACCTGATCAGAAGCATGCCTAGGCGCGTTGGAGAATGCGTAGCACATCAGGGTGCATCAACACATTATTAAAGGTCAAAGGGCTTTAAAGCAGTGCAATCATTTTGAAATTTTATCATTTACTTATTATGCTTCATTAAGTACTTATACAAAATTTTATTAAAATAAAACCATTTAAACTGGGTGTTCGGATTTATATGTCACTTAGTATATCTCCGATATAACAAAACATTCTTAGGCTAATCCAAATCCCTTGAACTTTTGCCCCGTGTGTTTTGGGAATACTCTGTATGCTAATAGGCTATCCTTTCAACATTGATGATTCATGAAAAAAAGTTATCCAGAAAAATATTTCCATATAATGGTCTCATCTTCGGAAATATATTTTCTTTTGAATTCGTCTGTATTCTATAAATCTGGTCTATTGGTTTTGTAAAAACTGACTAACGTTGCAACCCTATCTATTTAATTTTTATTCTCAATGTTATTGATTGATATATCGAAAAGCTGCTTTAGCAGCCAAAAATGAGAATAATACACAAAAGTCCCGTTAGTTGGCACATAAACAGAAGAAGATAAGGGTGTAATTAGACGGAGAGGAAATGGAGCACGTGGAACCCTTTCAATAATCAGGTTCAGCAATTGATGCACAAGAAAAACAATATATATAGAATATATATAGAAAAGTGCTGCATCAAAACTATTGAATGTTCTAAACATCCAATTTTTTGGGCTTAAAGAGATCTCAGCACATATTAAGATGTAGGTATTCAGAACCATATACAGACCTACCCTGATCTATGGCCGAAAGCCACAGGTTCTTTCTAAAAGACAAAAAGCAAGATACTGGCGTGGAGATGGAGTACCCGAGAAGAGGCAAAGAAACGCAGCATCTGAAACTTATCCTATGGTCTGGCCAAATCGAACCGCATATGTTTAAAGTATGTTTAAGATCGGACAGATTCAAAAGGGTTGAATTGGGAGTAGAGCCAGTACTGAAGCCGATTGAACAGAATCTCTGAAAAAGTAGAATGAAGATCACTTGACAAGTAAAAAGCAAGTAGCAGACAAAGACTATGCCAAGAAGGAAAAGGGGAAGGCCGGAGAAAACTTGGGATGTAGTGACCGACAATATAGGATATAGGGTTGAACATGCGGAGCGCACAAGAACTGGCACAAAGCAAGAAGTGGAGAAAGAGCTTGTGGACAATAGTGTAACTAGTTCAATTTGTAATGTATTTCTCACGTCTTAACCCACCGAATAAAAGACTTAAAATAATATTCATTTATAAGTAATATTTGCCCAACCAATCCCTGCATTAACTGTACTACGATGATGTAGGTATATACAAGATCTGTCAGTCAATATAATATTCCATTTTATGGAGGGATTTCTTTCTTTGGAGCTATGGCAGCGTTAAAGCAGCAGCGAGGTAGGGGTTAGAATAGCGAAGGAAGATTCGCATGTATTTATCACGGAGATTTTCTATTTGAGTGGGATAATACTTGTCATCGCGTTTTGGTGCCTGCTCATGGAATCCGACGCGAAGATTGAAAAAAGAAATTGTTTTTTGTTCTTGAATCCAAAGGATAAGTGCGTATGAAACCAAGGGTGAAATGCGACTGGAGTCTCTGCGGAATAAGGTTTTTATGTAAGGGTAAATATAGGGTAAAAACGTCTGAAATTTGGAAATTATTGGTTTTAAAACTGGAATTAGTACTGGTTCTAACACACAGTTTTGAATATATTTTGATGTGAAATATGAAATTTCAAATGAACTATGCAGTTCCTGGAATGATATCAAGTAGGTTGAGTTTGCACTTCGCACGCAAGGCCGTTATCAGTTCATTAAGGATTATGTTTAGCACAAACTAGACCCCTCAGGGAAAAAAGTTAGTCAAACAGGTCCATACAATTAGTCTCGAGATATTATTTCCCTGTCCTCTCTCTGATACTTCAGCCGATTAAACGTGGCGGCTCGGATAGATCATCGGAAAAACTATGCTGTGGTGCGGTAGAATTGCACACGTGCAATACTATACTAGAGCAACGTAACACAGGCCGCCGGGAGCAGCAACCGCAGCCGGTAGGTACGCGATCTATCTGCTGATGAAAGAAAAGTTTTAAGCTTAATAGGTGCGTAGTATTACCAAGGTTGGAATATAAATATATGAACATCAATTTACATAAACCTACAACCCCCAAGATTTTTTGCCTCTAAATTTTCTTCAGTGATCAGGTTCCTCTAAAACGTCAAAAATACGAAGTTTGAGCGATTTTTTCTTTTTCGTTTTTGGCCTTTTTCTCTGCCTAGCCCTAATGGACCGACTTTAATAAACTACAAAGCTTTTGCGTCCTTGGCATAGTAGTAAAATTCTGAAAAAATGTAATAGAAATCCGAGCGGTACTTCTCAAGTTATAGGTGGTTATCAGATTAGCGGGCTGACTGACAGACAGACAAACCAGAAAAAGTGATATTGCTTTTTGTGATGCAAATGTCATATAACATCCAAAAAGCATAATATCTCATTTTCGAAAATTTCCAAGTAATGTATTTTGCAATGTCTTTTATCTGCTTAAACTTTGGAATGGAACCCGTCTTCAAACAATACAATCATATGAATTACATTCTGATTTTTTCCGACTATTTAATATGTTCGAAGTGGGTGGTGGGCACTATCATATCGATCGCAAAGAGCGATGTTGCATGGATGAGAAACAACTCGGAATTAACCAATTTGCTGTATTTCATACCACATTCTATACCAAATCTGCTAAATTATATGTTTATGTACAAACGTTCAAATTTTCGAAATGGGTCACAATACATGCGTTGTATATTGTAAAAACAATGGAAAAACGGTAGGTGCAAATTTTATACGTTTCCTATAGCAATATGGAAACTAGAGCAAACATAAATTGATAGCTGCTGTAGAAAGGAAATACTCAGCAACGTAACCGGATATAACAATTTTTTAACCTTGAAGAAGTTAGAATGTCTAAGCACACAATTTGTCAATTTCTTCACAACAATGAATTCAACCTTCGTTATTTGATGCGTTCACGTTTTGTGATTTGAGTTTAAAATTATAATCCTTATAGTTTGGCTTCGAGCTTTGGTTTTAATTTGGGACTCAATATTTCAACAGAAAAAATCAGTATGTAAATATGCCGTCATATTCTTTATCAAAAAAAAAATAACATAACCTAAATGTGTACTGCGTTCCACGATACATCTAACCCAGAACATCGATGTTTTGACAAATGCAATAATATATTTTTTATTATTGACATAGACATAGCCGCTTATCCTGTCCTGAATCAAAATCCATAAAGTTTTAGCCTGGGGAATAAGTTTACTACCTGATTAATAATGAACGATTATCACTCAGCCAAAAATTTGGTGAATATCGGTCCATTTACTTCTCAATTTATTTTACCGTTTACCAGAATTTTGTCTAACTCTGTATAATACACATTTTTTTTATTCTTACATGCGTTTGTGTACTAAGAGAACACAGCTCCACCTTTTATATCTACTAAGGGGCATGAAATAGCAATCCAACTGATAAGTAACACGTCCTGAACAGTTACTCACCAGCCTCTTTCACATGGATGTTTTCCATCGATACGGTAACAAAATTTCACGCCACATATTTGTATTATTGAGACCTACTACAGGAGAATTCTACTAACTCTTTCAGTTAGATAATTAGCTGTCACTACCACTCTCACATGCTTAAGGTGTCAACATTGTATACTATCTACCACAACCTTCCAGACAGTCTCCAGATCTACTAACCTCTTCGACTTTTTATTCGGGTATTCGGGATATTTTGGAATTCAGGAATATACTCTAGATACTCCAATATTCAGAACAAGTGTCAGTTACCGTCATTATGTCCTAAACAGCATAACCCGTAACTCAAAAATCTACATAATGTACTTTACACACACCTACGTAGATTGTCCTACGGCTGGAGAAAACCTCGTTTAGCTATATACTGGAAAACAGATCACATGAAACAGTACTCTAAAGTAATTCAATTTTCGTAGTTTAGAGTTTCCATCCTATTCTGTTGGCCACAGTGTGGGCGATAAAAATCTCGCATTTCCTCATTTGTCTGCAACCACTTCCAGACGAAGTCTGTGACGTTATCGGACGACAGACACAGAAACAGGGTAGCTTTGTTATAAACTAAATATTCTGATTTAGATTTATAATAACTTTCTGATCTGCGGTCTTACCAGCAGAACGTGTATCCATTAATAAAGTAACCAAAGTTCCCAAGCATGCAAACTGTCGATTTACTAATGCCATCAAAGATACAAAACGTGATATTAAGTTTACAGCATTACTCAGAAACAATGATTTATATTAGTGACAGTTTCAAGCGTACGAAGTCACGAGTAACAGCTGGTAAAAAATAAAACAACTGTATCGGTTGACAGTCACGGGTTGAGTGGGGTCGATGACAAGCCGCGTTGTCACAGACTTGACACTGACGGTGGAGTTCTTGGTACCTGCTGCTACAGTTGATTGCAAAATCAACGATAAAGTTCGCGGATAAACGCATGCCTATAATCTTCTTCGGGAATCAATTAGAACGTGTACACATTTGTCTCTCCGTATGGTGGTTCAGACGTGATACTGATAGACTGGACAGACAGAGGTAGGAGATTCTGAAAGTTGGGACAACTGCACTTAAAATAACAAAACTAATGTGCGATGAAACAGTATTTTGGTTTTTTCAAATCCGATGTGTAACCAGCTATCTCTGTTTACCTGTATGTCTTCTCACCTAATCACGACTGGGGGTAGGGCCGTCTCTGGTATCGCAAATTATTTCGGGACCCGATAACTAGGTTATCTTAAGTCTTTGGTGTCTGAGTTATAAATATGATTAATTTTACAAAAATTATACGTCGTGTACCAACTCCCTGTAAAATATATGATCAGTTCGTCCTCATAGATCGTTTGAAACTGTGTGATCTAAATTTGAAACTAGGATTCTGGTAAGTACTTTTAGAAGCTGGATTCAACTTGCACTTTCAAAGAATATCAGAAAAACGTTCACAAATATACAGTTACAGTTTCAGTTATCGGTCAGACAAAACACCTACGCGTCACTTGGCATTTTGGGTACGTCTCGGGGATGCAAAAAGTGCTGACGAAATATACTGTAACGAAAATGCCATGCTTACTGTCCAAATTACTCTTACACTAATGTATAACACTTGTAATAATTTATGACAATCGACACCGCCCACTGTCGACTACTAAACCATAACTGTCTGGTTGCGCCACCTGGTCGGATATTTGTTAACCTATCACCGAGTCGAGAAACACTCATACGTTATTGGGAACTTCCATCTAAGTGGTCTAGATTGCAACATGTTCTTCTTCAGATGTGTCGAATGCTCAAGATGGTATCGCAAACGATTCATAATGCAAGCACGCTCCATACATGGTCAGGTAACTGTGGTCGCCTAATCGTCGACTCTGCAAAGCCGTCCCGTCGACATCCAAGGTCCCAGCTATACGAGGATATTACGATACCTGTTAATACTCAATGCTAAGTGGTTAAACTCCATGCTTGAAATGCTGCAGAATCACAATAGATGAATGTGCTCTTCGGCTGTGATAAGAGGGCCTGTCAAAGCTTTCCAGGCTGGACCCTGTATATTCAAGACATCTCAGTGGAAAGCGGTTTGATCAAATGAAGCAATACTTCGAACTAATTCAATTTTTCCATTCGAATTTCCATCTTGATCAGTTGGGCATAAAGTATGGGCGATAAAAATCTACCATTTCCTCAGCTGTCTGCGAATGCGTTCAGCTAGAGGCGAGAGGACGGTTGTGACGTCATCGGGCAACGGAAGGAAAAAATGGAGAAACCAGACGACGCTGCACGGTGTTACTGTATTATAGAAAAAACGGCGTCTGCCGAGATGCGGTGGCCGCGTTGTGGTAGTGATTATTTTTTTCTCCGTCAGCGATGAAATTCGAATAGAGCAGAGTTGTACTGAGAAAAAATGGCGTCAGGTCGGTTGACTCCGCACTTCAATCGCAATATTGTCATCATTTAATAAAGCATTAAGTTCGACCCAAGTTAGTTCCTTTGAGCTAGAGGGCGTTTCAAATTCTGCTTTCACCATTGGGATCTCGGAAACTGTAAGAGATGCCAAGTTGCTTACATGGGACAAAGTTGC